AGTTTATTACACAAAAAAACCAAGCTTTAAGTATACATATTAACAATATCCCACTTACACTAAAGCTTTCGCTTTTTCTCCTAGTATAGCTCTCCCAATCCTCATTATAAAAGTACTATGTCGATCTTATCTTCTAACATATGACTCTCGTTCCCTCCACGTGTCTTTTGATGACCTTCGTCGGCAGACTCTTCATGAAAGGATCTGCAAGGTTGTCCTCTGATGCTATCTTGGCGACCACAACATGTCCTCTTCCTACAATATCTCGTATCAGGTGCTACTCTAGCTCTATGTGTTTAGTCGCCTTATGGGCCCGTGGCTCTTTCGAGTTTGCTACTGCTCCACTGTTATCACAATAAACTATAATACCAAGTAGCAAAGTCGGTACCAAATCCAAGTCCAACAGAAAGTTCCTGAGCCATACCGCTTCCATCGATGCCTGAGAGGTTATGACATACTCGGCTTCCATGATGGAGTCTGTCACACATCTTTGCTTGACAGTTCTCCAAACAATGGCTCCACCTGCCGGAGTAAACACAAACCCTAAGGTAGATTTACTTTTGTCACAGTCTGACTGGAAGCCAGAATCGGTGTAACCCACATGGGCCCATTGGTCCTATCGGTAGACCAACATATAATCCTTGGTCCTTTTCAGATACCTGAGTATATGCTTCACCACGGTCCAATGCTGTCCCATGTTACTTTGATACATGATACCATGTCTACGGCATAGCAGATATCTGGCCTCGTACATAGCATAGCATACATGAGACTTATTACTGTCGATGCATAAGAAACCGTTCTCATGTCCTCTTGAGACATCTTGTGAGAAATCTTCTTAGACATAGAAACTGCATGCCGAAAGGGTTGAACTTATAATTTTTAATTTGTAACCCTTGTGGATCCAAGAATTCTTTCCCTTTTTGAGTTACTTTTTCGTTTATACTGACTATGAAGAAGAAACCTCCAAGTATTACAGAACTTAAAATCATCAAGTGAATTTCAATTTTTTATTTATAACAACTGAATTTCAATTTTTTATTTATAGTCATAAATCTTGCAGCACAATATAAGAGTTGAATGTGGTGGGGGAGAGAATTGCTAGATTACAAATCTACGAGATGGTGTAATTAAAGAAAAAACATCATATTATTCAACTGGCCTATATGATGTAAAATTGAATAATATGTACCATAAAAGGGTACAAAAATAAAAAATAATCATGAAAAAAGATAAATAGAAGATGAAAATGATAGTGCCATTGAAATTGAATATCATGGGACATCGAGAATTCTTAAAAAAATGTGTGAAGATAATAATAATAAAAAGAAAAGATAAAAGAAAATCCTCCAATAATAATTAAAAAAATAATGCATCTGTAATATACGTTAACTAGTTATTTTGTTATTTCACTCTCTTTTTCTTTCTTTGCATTGGAGATCCATTTTATTTTATTTTTTTCATTTATTTTACATTGGAGAATTAATATATTAATTATTTTCCTTACATGAGAACATCGTTATGTTACAATATGAACTCTAATTATTTTTAATTTTAATTCATTCTTGCAATGATCTTTTTTTTTCCGAAACGATAAAGACATTACATATAACTCAACAAGAATTGTTCGAGTACAAGAAAAATGACCAATGACTAAACAACCAAAAATTAAACTGAGAAGCCACCAAACATGTGATGACTTAGAACCTCATCAATACCAAAGCCTATGAGATAGAGACTGATCAAAAAAAATAAACAAGAGAGCAGGTACTCCACCACTTGCAAACTGTCTAGCAAGAGCCTACTCCCCTAACTAAATAACACAGAAAGTCCAAACACATACAGACACACAGATTACATATAAGATTTTTTATTAATATTCTAAAATTCCAGGCAGTTTGAGTGGACTGTCTTGATGACAAATGGAACTGGTGTGAGGGATTGTTGGAATATCCAACCAGTCCAATGATGCAAAGGCTCTATCAAGTCTCCCTTCCACCATATCATCACCTTGCCTATTGTTGCACCAAGTGAACTGCCATCCTATCATCTGAATTTCCTCCATTTCCATGTGATCAATGAATTGATTGAATCCTGCAAAATTGATTTCACATCTAGGTAGGCCCCCTAATTTATCTTCTCTGGATCTGAGGTCGTTCCAGTCTCCAATGATGAACCAGTTGTGTCCCCATTTCATTTTTTCATGCTCCAATTTAGTCAATTGAATAGCTCTTGAATGTACTAAGGTAGTCAAATATGCCCCATTGACTGTCTTCAGCAGGTAACTGGAATTGTACAGCAATGAAAAAGTTGGAACTATAGACTTGGTGAATGGTGACTAACGAATTCCATAAAAGTAAAAGACCACCACTTATTTCTGTGAGATCCACCACAACCATCCTATCTGCGAAATTGAGCTTCTTGCTAACTAATTTAACAAAGCCATTAGTTGTTTTTTTGGTTTCTGACAAGAAAATACAGTGTGGGTGGTGAGACTTCATCGTCTCTCGAATTTGAAAAACTATACAGGGCTCACCCAACCCTCTGCAGTTCCACACCATGGCTAACATTGGTTACTTGGGTATCATTCCAGGCTGGCCACCCCCACCTTTGAAGAAGAAGAAAATCCAGTTGTTTGGTATCACCTTGAGTGTTGATCTGCTCTTCTTTGTCTAAATCCTTGGCTTTAATTTTTTTTTTGATGTTCTGTGCCTCTTGCCAGTTGATGGTTGGTTTGTGACTGCAGTGTTGCTACCCAACCTTTGCAGTCCGCCTTCCTTATTGCCCATTCTTTCCCAGTTTTTAACATAGCACCTGATTCTATTTGAGATTTGCTCATTATTGGGTGAAGGAGATCCAAGGTATGTATGTCTGGATTTGTTTCCACTTCCATATCCTTTGTTGGGACTTCTGTAGGTGAAACAAACTTAGCTCTTTCCACATTTTGACTGTCAGCCATTGCCTGGAAGTAAGGTGGAGCCAGTTGCTTGCATTGTTGGGGTAGATTGGTTTTGATGCAACACCAGTTGATTCCTTTCTTCCTTTCTATTGGTAGAATTGTGCTGAGAGGTGCCAATGTCTGCAGTCGACGGTTTATCTGACTGAGGAGGACTTCTTGATTCAGACTTACTTACTTCAATCCAGTTTTGCCCTTCTGGAGCTCGCAACCAATCACCGAATTGACCTTCTTTTAGAGATTGTGATCGAATATCATTTTATCTATGTTGACAATTCCTGTCCAAATGCCCTTTTCTGCCACAATAATGACAAAGATTGACCAGTTTCTCATACCGGAAGCATACTTGAACCACTTGGTCCCCTAGCGGGATATTAGCACATCTTACTAAGGGCTCTTGAAGATTGAGGGATACTAGCAGTTTGAGAATTCTACCTCCATGATTACCAGCGCTTACAATAGTGACGTTCTAAACAGCCGGCCTATTTTAAGTCCAGCATCGGTGCTAAGCCAGTTGAGGAGAATATTTAGTACCTGCACACCCAGATGGTTAACTGTTGAAAACATTTGTGATGTCATGTCCAACCATCTTGCCATTCTGTTAATATCAAGAACTGGATTTCGAAGCTCCAATTAGTGCCACTAAGAACCTTTTGCTGATCTTCTTTGTTTTGGAATATGAACTAGAAGTAGTTGAACCCTAGTTCCTTGACTTCCATCGATTGAGACAATCGCCATATTTGTGTCATGGTTCTTTTGACTCCTATCCAACTCGCTTTCCGATCTTCTATTATCCGTCCAAAGAGACTGCGATTGCATTCTTCTGCACTGATTCGAATATTGTTGTGTTCAATATCAATAAAGGAGGAGTCTCTATCTGATAGCGAAAAGGAGCTCAATTTTTGCGATAGATCTTCATCTTGTGATGAATCACTGCGCCCCTCCATTGATTAGAATCAATCGATTGAAAACTCTAATCTTTTTTTCTTTTAGGGAACTGGGTGCAGAATATGGCCAAACACAAATATAGAGAAACTGGGTGCAGAATATGGCCAAACACAAAGAGGAAGTATTGAAGAGTTAACACTGATTATCAGGATGGAGAAGAACAGAAGGAATAAGGAAACACCAGGGAAATAATCGGAAATCGAAGGCTAAACTGATCGGCTCTCAACGAGAGAATGTCGGCTCTCAAACGAGAGTATCTCTATATTAATCAAATTTTTTTTCCAATGACACTTCACTAAACTGATTATTTTCCATACTAAAAATTTAATTGGCAAATAAATTTACCACCACGTCCACTTGTATTTTAACCAAGTGGCAGATGGAGTTCATTTTTATTCTCAAGTCTTAACCATAAATAAACAAAAAAATAAATCAGATGAACTCCAATATTTTAACAAATAAAGGACATTATCCATAACAGAATTTCCAATAAATAAACGCATCCCCTGAAAGGGAAAACAATGAGGAACAGTTATTCATATTATATTATCTTTCAACAATACAGAGGGAGATAATACTGCTATGCATACAGTATTATCCATCCTAATAATAAAACTAGGGCTACTAGAATCATTAAGGTTTGATTTTAGCTCTTTTCATGTTATACCCCAAGCTGCTTCCCAAATTTTTGTCTGAGGTAACTATCCTTGAAGCCCCAATTTTGTCGACAACCAACGGCAAACTTCATCCATCTCTTCAGGAATGGTGTAATGACCCATCCTGTAAGAAAACAACAGAGAAATAACACAGTAAAATTATGAAGTCATTTGCACAATACAACACGAGTATGTGTCTAAATTTCGCTTCCGTCAAATACCCGTTGTATGATTTAAACGTGCCGCTCTGAAACCCGGCTGAAGTCAGGACACTCGCAGATTTCTCTCCATGTTTATACGCAACTACATCATCCCCTGAAACATAGATATCCTGTTAATAATAATAATAATAATAATAATAATAATAATAATAATAATAATAATAATAATAATAATAATAATAAAATTTGTATAAATAGAATTTTCTAGACAAGCTTAGGCAAACCCCTCGGCAGATCGTAAATTGGTTTTCCAAATAAAACGATATACCAGTGCCGTGACATAGTAAAATGGGCAATGATGCTGCACGCTCTGCAGCCTCACTTGATTCTTGGATTCGGTTCTTTAGTGTCCTAAAAAAATAAAAATTAGCCGTTGAGTGAAAACAAACAACTAAGATCAGCAGGGCCATGCTTATTGCTGCGTATATGTCTTGGTTTACATAAAAGTAAACATTACCTGGCACATGGAAGCCAGCCGCTGAGGCCGACTACGGAGCTTAGGTTAACCAGGTATGGGTTAGTGTTCCCATATTGACTAAAAACGTGACAAGTGGCCGAGTATAGAGCAGTTGCTGCACCCATACTAAACCCTCCAATACCCAATTTGACTGAGATTTAAACAAAAAAAAAAAAAAAAAAAATGATTTGAGAATAAGTGAGCAATTAAAAACTTGCAGCATAACATGTGAAATTAAAAACTTGCAGCATGACATGTTCACCTGTTTTTCTTTTATCTCACGCATATACAGCAAGATCAGAAAACAAAATTTTTACTTAAAAATCAAATAAATCGATAAACAGAATCTGAGTAAATTGAGTGACGAATCAAGACAAGATTTTGGAACCCATCTCTTGTGAAAGACCATTTCCTACATTCATGGACCCTCCCAACAGTTTCTTGTAATCAGGCAAAAGGGTTTGATCAAAATTATATGTTTCATGATATAGACAAACCTGAGCCTGGTCACCATTCCCCAGTACAAAATTCTGTCCACTTGTAGGACAAGTGTGTGTGTGTGCGCACGCGCGTCTGTATAAGTAAATTTATATATGTGTGTTTTGTCCTGTGAAAGTTCATTCTATTGGGTTGACTAACAAGCACTTCATTAAAAAAAAAAAAAAAAAAAAA